ACATGTAAACTGATCATGACGACGACGACGACGACGACGATGATGATGATGATGATGATGATGATGATGATGATGATGATGATGTATCAGCTACTGTTATTCTATAATACATATGAATGTGTGTGAAAGTTTTGTGTGGTGATATGTTGTTATATGTTTCTGTCATTTTAAAAAATCTGGAAAAATAAAAAAGATACAAAAAAAAAAGTTCAATTAACTGTGAATTCCATGCATATTTAATCATGGTGCTCTTATCTGATTGGCTGATTTCTTGACAAAAATCTTGAGGATCGCTTTCCACTCTTCTTTCAAAGGAATGAGACTTGCTTAGCAGATTTAGTACCTTAACCACTATAATAAGTTTGATTATCAGCGAATTCTGCAAACATCTAATAAGGCAGCTGTGACCTGAATGGCTGATTGTTTTGTACAGAATATCTTCCGAGGTAATAATAAGAAATCTTTTAAAAGACTATAAACATGTCTTTTACATATTCGGAGAGTTAGGCGCCACAATCATGGAAGAAGAATAAGTATAATAATGATTAGAAACAGAACAATAACAATAGGTTTTTTTCACCAGTTGGTAAAATGCCCTAATAAACCTATGATAGCAATGTTTTTAGAAGCCTAATGTTCGAAGTGATGTTGCACTATCACCGGTTATGATTTGTTTTACTGATAGTCAGTCTCATGTTATTTTACATATCTGATTGTTAGATGTTGTATCGTATTTTATTAATGTGTATAAACCATTTGACTATTTTGTCATATTTGAGCAGTAATGGAATCATTGATTGATCCATAGTGACTTAAATTCAGTGACAAATATTCAATCATGTACATGGACTTGGCCACATTCTGATGTTTCCTCTTACGGTTGATAGACATGGCCACATTCTGATGTTTCCTCTTACGGTTGATGGACATGGCCACATTCTGATGTTTCCTCTTACGGTTGATGGACATGGCCACATTTTGATGTTTCCTCTTACGGTTGATGGACATGGCCACATTCTGATGCCTCCTCTTACGGTTGATGGACATGGCCACATTTTTAAAGGCTTCCTGTTACGGTTGATGGACATGGCCACATTCTGATGCTTCCTCTTACGGTTGATGGACATGGCCACATTCTGATGCTTCCTCTTACGGTTGATGGACATGGCCACATTCTGATGCTTCCTCTTACGGTTGATGGACATGGCCACATTCTGATGTTTCCTCTTACGGTTGATGGACATGGCCACATTTTAAAAGACTTCCTCTTACGGTTGATGGACATGGCCACATTCTGATGCTTCCTCTTACGGTTGATGGACATGGCCACATTCTGATGCTTCCTCTTACGGTTGATGGACATGGCCACATTCTGATGTTTCCTCTTACGGTTGATGGACATGGCCACATTCTGATGTTTCCTCTTACGGTTGATGGACATGGCCACATTTTGATGTGTTTCCTCTTACGGTTGATGGACATGGCCACATTTTGATGTTTCCTCTTACGGTTGATGGACATGGCCACATTTTGATGTTTCCTCTTACGGTTGATGGACATGGCCACATTTTGATGTTTCCTCTTACGGTTGATGGACATGGCCACATTCTGATGTTTCCTCTTACGGTTGATGGACATGGCCACATTTTGATGTTTCCTCTTACGGTTGATGGACATGGCCACATTTTGATGTTTCCTCTTACGGTTGATGTACATGGCCACATTCTGATGTTTCCTCTTACGGTTGATGGACATGGCCACATTTTTAAGGCTTCCTCTTACGGTTGATGGACATGGCCACATTCTGATGTTTCCTCTTACGGTTGATGACATGGCCACATTTTTAAAGGCTTACTCTTACGGTTGATGGACATGGCCACACTTTTAAAGGCTTCCTCTTACGGTTGATGTACATGGCTACATTTTTAAGGTTTCCTTTTACGGTTGATGGACATGGCCACATTTTGATGTTTCCTCTTACGGTTGATGGACATGGCCACATTTTGATGTTTCCTCTTACGGTTGATGGACATGGCCACATTCTGATGCTCCCTCTTACGGTTGATGGACATGGCCACATTCTGATGTTTCCTCTTACGGTTGATGGACATGGCCACATTTTTAAAGGCTTCCTCTTACGGTTGATGGACATGGCCACATTCTAATGTTTCCTCTTACGGTTGATGACATGGCCACATTTTTAAAGGCTTACTCTTACGGTTGATGGACATGGCCACATTTTTAAAGGCTTCCTCTTACGGTTGATGTACATGGCCACATTTTTAAGGCTTCCTTTTACGGTTGATGGACATGGCCACATTCTGATGTTTCCTCTTACGGTTGATGGACATGGCCACATTCTGATGTTTCCTCTTACGGTTGATGGACATGGCCACATTTTTAAAGACTTCCTCTTACGGTTGATAGACATGGCCACATTCTGATGTTTCCTCTTACGGTTGATGGACATGGCCACATTTTTAAAGGCTTCCTCTTACGGTTGATGCACATGACCACATTTTTAAAGACTTCCTCTTACGGTTGATGGACATGGCCACATTCTGATGGTTCCTCTTACAGTTGATGGACATGGCCACATTTTTAAAGACTTCCTCTTACGGTTGATAGACATGGCCACATTCTGATGTTTCCTCTTACGGTTGATGACATGGCCACATTTTTAAAGACTTCCTCTTACGGTTGATGGACATGGCCACATTCTGATGGTTCCTCTTACAGTTGATGGACATGGCCACATTTTTAAAGACTTCCTCTTACGGTTGATGGACATGGCCACATTCTGATGTTTCCTCTTACGGTTGATGGACATGGCCACATTCTGATGTTTCCTCTTACGGTTGATGGACATGGCCACATTCTGATGTTTCCTCTTACGGTTGATGGACATGGCCACATTTTTCAAGGCTTCCTCTTACGGTTGATGGACATGGCCACATTCTGATGCTTCCTCTTACGGTTGATGGACATGGCCACATTCTGATGCTTCCTCTTACGGTTGATGGACATGGCCACATTCTGATGTTTCCTCTTACGGTTGATGGACATGGCCACATTCTGATGCTTCCTCTTACGGTTGATGGACATGGCCACATTCTGATGTTTCCTCTTACGGTTGATGGACATGGCCACATTCTGATGTTTCCTCTTACGGTTGATGGACATGGCCACATTCTGATGCTTCCTCTTACGGTTGATGGACATGGCCACATTCTGATGTTTCCTCTTACGGTTGATAGACATGGCCACATTTTGATGTTTCCTCTTACGGTTGATGGACATGGCCACATTCTGATGCCTCCTCTTACGGTTGATGGACATGGCCACATTTTGATGTTTCCTCTTACGGTTGATGGACATGGCCACATTTTGATGTTTCCTCTTACGGTTGATGGACATGGCCACATTTTGATGTTTCCTCTTACGGTTGATGGACATGGCCACATTCTGATGTTTCCTCTTACGGTTGATGGATATGGCCACATTTTGATGTTTCCTCTTACGGTTGATGGATATGGCCACATTCTGATGCTTCCTCTTACGGTTGATGGACATGGCCACATTCTGATGCTTCCTCTTACGGTTGATGGACATGGCCACCCTCTGATGTTTCCTCTTACGGTTGATGTACATGGCCACATTTTTAAAGGCTTCCTCTTACGGTTGATGACATGGCCAAATTTTTAAAGGCTTCCTCTTACGGTTGATGGACATGGCCACATTCTGATGCCTCCTCTTACGGTTGATGTACATGGCCACATTCTGATGTTTCCTCTTACGGTTGATGTACATGGCCACATTTTTAAAGGCTTCCTGTTACGGTTGATGTACATGGCCACATTCTGATGCCTCCTCTTACGGTTGATGTACATGGCCACATTCTGATGTTTCCTCTTACGGTTGATGTACATGGCCACATTTTTAAAGGCTTCCTGTTACGGTTGATGTACACATGGCCATTCTGATTCTTACGGTTGATGGACATGGCCACATTTTTAAAGGCTTCCTGTTACGGTTGATGTACACAGCTACATTCCCTTAGATGCTGAAATACGTAGCTACATTTTTGGAGGCTTTCTGCTACGGCTAATGAACATGGTCACATTCTTCTTGGGTTTTTCTTACATTTAACGGCAATTCTCGACTTTCCGAACGACTTTTAATGGTTCCATAGACAAAAGGTAGCGTCATTAAAGCAGCATTCATAAGATATTATGGTATTTGATGAGTCATTGATAAGCAGTGGTGATGGAGCTGTGTGTTGTTATTTTATGGACAGGCGTGTAATCCAAGATCGTAGCCAACACATTATTTCTTTGGTTCCATTGACGACAATGAGCAGAAATTTTATGTCTGTTAAGAAAAATATCCCAACAAAATGTTCTTACATTTTCGGCTTTATTAAAATTTCATTATAGCTGCCACGGTGGTCATTTTATAGCATGGTAGCTCAGACAAGGTTTTCCTGAAAAAAAAAGAAAACCCTTATTTAAACTTCTTCTTATGTTCCACACGTGAAAATAATTTGAAAGTTGACACGAATTATGTTTAGATAATGCTGATCAAGATCTTTCATTTTTTTCGGGTCGGTCTTAAATCCAAGATGACCGTCATTATAAAACATTATAAAACAAATTCTCTTATTCCACCGGTGTAATTGAGCTCGAAGTTCGTAGGAATGTTGAAACAGTGAAATGATTTGTTTTCCGTTAGAAAGTGTCAGATCCCCAGTAATTTATGTTATTAACTACTGCTCACGTTATAGCATTTAAAGCCATTAAACACTATTACTTCGATGAACCCAAAACGTTAACTCCATTGTATTTCACCTTGGCATTGGTTTCAAAACTATAAATAGTAGGAAATATACAGGCTTATATCAATTACTACTGTAGGTAATATACATGATTAATTGTATCTGTGTCTTTCATGACCTCGCAGACTAAAACAGACCCAGAATACAGGCTGCTTTCTGTTCATGGTATGACAGTCCTCCGTTTGCACAGGCCCAATTGAGTGCGAATCACAACTACAGCAGAAAGGATCGATGTCTGTACAGCCATCACTGGCGTTCTGTTTTCGTACATCATAGTCCAACGCATGTGTAGACGCGTGTTCCTCACATATGCGCTCGCCTTCTTGTAATACAAACATTTACCCTTGTGCGTTGTCTTTTAGGTTAGACAGTTGACTGATGTAGACGCTCTGTGATATTTGCAACTTGTTAACAATGGAAATGGCTGAACGCAGACGTACCAGGTGTGGACAGCTAGTGAGGACTAACGGACTGGTGCTGTTAACACTTGCAGGAGTGGTACTGGGACTTTCTTCAGGGTTTGGCATACGAGAGCTTAAACCTACCGCCACAGCTATCATGTGGATAGGTACGTACAACACAACACTATCACGTTAATGATGCATGCTGTGTTTCTATTTGTGTGTTTAGATTTTGAAATCTTCATATCACACTTTCGAGCTTTAATTTGTGGTATTTTCATGTCATGAGAATGTATAACGACAAGTCACTAACTCTAACATTTTGTAAGGTATTATGTCTTGTCAATGAAGTGAATAATTGCATGAACAATTTAACAAAATCGTGGTCTTGTATTAATGTATTAATGAGGACAAACGAGACACTGATAAATGTAGAGCCTTATTTGAAGTCAGGCAACCATTACTGTCATACTGTGTACATAACAGTCAGAGAATTTAAAAGCAAAATGACCATTTTGTCTTAATGTATGTGACTGTCAAAGAATAATGTAGATAACATGTAATTGACTTTCTTTAAAGTGCTAGGAAGATTCATGAATGTTGAGTCTCTTTCACCTGCGATTTATTTTGACCAATTAGAATTTTCATAAGTTTCTGCAATTTAAGCCCTTAATGTCATTGACGGGTTCTAGGAGTTCGGAACAGCTGCATGAAGCAGTTTAGCGAATTATTTAGCTATACTGTATCCACCGTTTAACGTATAATGAGAAGTGCTGTTAAGTTAGACGACCTTAGATAATTTGGAAGAAGAGTGGCCTAGTTTAGAAGATATAATACCTATCGCGTAAACAAGGGTATGGTGTTGAGTATCAATGTTTAGAACGTTTAAGATATAGGTGTCAATAGTTAGATTTTTTTTATCTCGCCGCACTGGTGATATGCGTGTGTTTATCTCATAATGTCGAGATACACCTCAATCAGACATCGTCACGATTTCGAGGGAATAATTCAGTCAGGCCTCGTCACAATGTCAACCTGGGTAGACTTCAGTCAGACCTCGTCAAGATGTCGAGGGAAGAATTCAGTCAGACCTCGTCACGATGTCATTTTGGGTAGACTTCAGTCAGGCCTCGTCACAATGTCGAGGGAAGAATTTATAACAGGTGTTACACCTGGTCAGGGTAAGCTTGTTTCATGATTGCCTGGTACAAAGTAGATAGAGACACGTGCAAAACCAGTCCGCAGGGAACCATTGATAAATCCTCACAGTCTAGATTCTTTCCCTGAAGATTGTGATTTCACAGCCTACAGAGAAAATTATACTCATCTACTTTGTTTTTGTAACAGACGCATACATGCATGAAAATTCAAATGACTTATAAATGGAATTATCACACTGTAAAGATTTGTAATGAAGATAGCAGACACTGTACAAAGAACCGGGCACTACAAGGGCCCTTCTGATGTTTGTCAAGTTAACGAAATGAAAAGCATAAAAAACATACCTTTAACGTCAAAACAACTTTTTTTTCATTTTGTTGTTTTTGTAGGATTACTTATATAGATAAAAAATGTAGAATTGTTTTGGAAATAATGGAACACAAGATTCTTGTTAAATGGGCTATCGATATATTGTATATGTTAACATATATTGTATCAATCATCTTGTTGGCAATAAAGCTGACACTCTAAGTTTTTTTAAATTCTGATCGTGAAGATGGCATGATAAACTCGTTGTTAACAAGTTTTTATTTTGTTGAATGAGAGTTTTAAGGACTTATCGAATCCATCTGTGTTTGAATTTAACTCGACAACTTTAGCTGGAAGGTTACTAGATATGATAATGATTACTACCGATGTTATTTTCACTTTTATAGATGTAGTATACTTAATGGTAGAGATTATTCGACAGATACAGCTATGGTAAAACAAAAGGTAAAACTATGAAAACGCCTTCCAATGCAAAAATAAAAATACCAACATGGCACGTGATCATAATTCAAACTCAAATTCCATAAAACTCAGGCAAAAATATTAACAAAAGAAAGTATTACATAGAAACTTCTAAAAAGTACAAGGAGAATAAGACCAGGTGTTCCAGAAGAGTACGCGTCTTCTGCTTCATCGACGATACCCGCCATGTAAACCTTGGTGAATCCAAGTAAGTCACGTCACGTTCTCAAATTAGAACAAAGTATACACTACGGAACCAACAGGCTAAATAGCAAGCATAAAATACGTCCAGCTTCATATCGTACAAGCAAAATCAAGCGAAATTGATCATATTACGGAGTTATGGCGTCTATTTAATTTCATCTATAATGTGTTAAATATCTATTGTCTATAACTAGATATTCAAGAGATAAAAAAAATAGCGATTTATGTCAACTGTCGACACACAAGTCAATAACACCATTTGGTTTAGATTTAGATACTGTAGATCTGAATAATGAATTTAACTGCATCATAAAGATGATTTGTCCTTCTAGGACTCATGAGGAAATTGCCGATAGAAATTTTAAAGCCTAAGGACAACTGAGGTAAATCATTGCTAAATAACCAAACTGTAAAAACAAATGTAAATGGGGCACTGCATTAGCAATATGTTTAGATAAATATCGTAAATTTTGTATATCTGATAATTTTCGAACGACGTCAAGCACATGTGTATATGAGGAACCGTTCTACCTTTGGAATAAATTAAAACATGGTTTACAGGTTATGGCAAACCTTGACCGTGACTATGAATCTACCAGTAGCATCCACAACCTGCATATTTGTAAATCGCACAAAATATTTACTGGAACTCTAGTCAGCTTGAACTTTCCTTTTTTCTTTGTTGTTGCAGGCATGATCGGTGAACTCTACTTGCGTGTTCTGGAGATGATGATAGTTCCACTAATTATAACATCAATTATTTCTGGTAATATTTATTTTCGTTTGATTACTGCTCCAATTACAGCTATTTGTACCATGATGTGTCATCCTTCAGATGAACTCTTATGATTTTGTTCATGATATTAGTATTCCATTTCTAGACATCAGAAACATTGCCATGTGTTCATTGTACTGCTAAATTTGATAAAGTGATTTTCCGTTCGTTAAATAATATTGGGTATTCATAGGACGTTAGGCAATGTAAAGTCAAATCCAGCTGTTCCAAGGATTCGTATCTACATTAACTTGTGTCAGATATGTGGACTATTTATCACCAATGACATAAACATAACTAACACATGTTACATCTTTAACTCCAGAAAATTCACATACAACGATAGAAGTTTATTTTAATATTTTAATACTAAAAAAGGATGATCACATATATATGTATCGAGTTTGTTATTTAATATTCACTTCAGCTGGTTCCTGAAGTTTCGAAACACAACTGGTCACCAGCAGAAGATTATTCAAGAAGTATCCATTCAGTTGCATATGTATTTAATAATTTAAGTTAAAGTTTATGTTCTTTCAGTTAAGACTTCCAACTATTCTCGAAAATGTATACAGTCTTTCTATTAACATGTATTTCTGTTAAACACTCTATAAAGTGGATGTAACTTGAATTATTAATCTTACAGTGACATCCACCATGGACCCGAAATCTAACGGACGAATAAGCGCTGTATGTCTGGTATATACTCTTGTATGTAACTTTGTTCCCAGTGTCATTGGATGTCTCCTGTGTATCGCTGTAGGACCAGGTATGTGATCATTTGTATAACAATAGGTCCAGGGCCCATATTCATGAAGTTATTATCATGCACAAGCATAGGTTTTGTGCTCAAGCAAACTTTTTTTCATAATTCACGTAAATCATATGAAATAATACAAATGACGAATATAAACATTGAATATAACTTTGACTTGAAGTCCTTTTGATTTCTTTTAAATTTTTGGCAAAATCAGCATTATTTATTGATTTTAGCTTAAACAAGACATAAGGCTTAAGCACAAAATTCATGCTTGAGCATGAGAACGTTTCGTGAATACGGGCCCAGGTGTGATGTAGGTAGGTCTTCTTGTGGTTCGTATATCTGACTACATTAAGTATGCTTACTATTGTCTAAAAAATATACATGTACCACACAGTGAAGGCTATTTCAGGCGCTTTTTAGAAATAGAATTGCATAGACTGTCAAGCACAGCATGTTGTCATGAAATGATAAAGAACAAGTCACCCTTAAATGATTAAATGTGTAATAAATGATAATGAATGTATCGCCTGAAGATGGCCTGAAAACGTTAGCGGAATATATTGGTCGTGTTGGTTTTATTCTTTTCAAATATGTTAATGTACGTATTTATTTTGTGAAAAGTAATAAGGCACGCATGCCAGATATTTACATAAACACATCAACAAATAACTCGCAGTAGCTACGCGCATTTTTTCCAGTAACGACAAGAATATACAATATTTACAATGAGGTTTACTCTCATAAAAGTCAAATCGATCCAAATGAAAACTATAAAGAAAATACAAACATGTCATCACAATCTCTAACAAGGTAAAAATGACTAACATGATACCTTTATCATGTCACAAGCTCGATTTCAATGATGATTCTCACACAGATACTGGCGTCGTCTGTCAGTACACTCATTCTATAATCAATCTGAGCTGCAGCGTTTGACAGGGTAGCGTTAGGGATATAACCCACACGAAGTCAGTAAATGATCACTCTACCATTGTGGAGTCGAATCTGTCATGTGAAGAATTCTCGAAGCTAATTTATAGAAATTCAATGCCTGATACCGCTGCATGGTAACTGTCCGAATTAATGAAATCTGACAATTTAGCGATGTTTGATGAAGTCTGTAGTGAACTTTATATCAATATATATAATAATATTTATCTGTAGATTCAGATAATTCAGTACAAGTTTCTCCAAAATTAGTTTGGATTTGACCACCCTGAGAACAGAGGAGTGTATTCACAGACAAGGTCACTACATATGGTTTATGTGACGTGGAGATTTATTATCAGCAACCCGGCATAATTTCGTCTGAGGTCTTCACATCAGTTTATAAAATCTTTTACATTTATTTATTTCATTTAGGCAATGCAGTCAAGGAGAAATTCACGACGGAGAAACATCAGTCTAATCACGGCACTACCATGGACACCAGTGATGTTCTGGCCGATCTTCTACGGTAATATCTTAACATATTTGGAATGTGATTAATTAAACAGTTAACTGCTTTCATTTTGGATTCGTGGACATAAAATGCGAACAGGATAAGAGCAAATTCAATGAAGCTCATCATGTTGAATTTGCAATTATCCATGAAAGCAATTTCTATATTGATCTTATCATGAGAAAAGACAACTCAATTTGTTCACATTACTTGCAATATTCCTACACTGTTTGGATTTAATGGGCTGGTAACACACAACAGAGGTTGATAAGGTTACATCATAGCAATGTCATACAATGGTAAATAACAAGGGATTGCGACTAATGAAATAAAATAATGTAAAACAAACACGCAACAAGACATCTCTATCCGAGATCAAATTCTACATGTGTATTAAAATGTGCTGTTCACTTGTGTACCTTCTGTCTTTGTGCTGGTGAGTCTTATTATTCACCACAACAAAAGCAAATGGGTAAAGCCTGAGATTAAAAGGGAATAGTGTCATTTTTCATGAAAGGGGTTGGATGGGTAGACGAGGGGGCGGGGGTCCTTGTAGAGAACATACAACAGTGAACAATACATTTTGGCACAAGTTTAGAATTAAATACATTATATCAAAGTAATGATTAAGGAATTAAACTGTACAATACACAGCTGTCTTTATCATATTCTGACCAGATATGATATTTAAGAATAAACTGTAATAGATCATTTCTTTAACAAAATGTCAGAATCTGGTTTTTCTTTTTTCGATCAGATTTCCCTCCCCCACCCCAAAATCTTTTATTTTGAAAAAAAAAAACCATTGGCTGGATCATTATGGTTTTAACGTGTTTGACGTCATGCAGATAATTTTGATACTTAAAAAAATCTTATTCGAGAACCGTTAAAATCCTGTTTCTTTAGAGTGACCGTAACAATTAGAAATATTTAGAGGAGAAAAACTTATTTTTTTATACATTTTTCTTACTTACTGCCCAAATGGGGAGTCAGAGGAATACCAATTAACTGCAGTTTTGTCAATGATGCTAAATACTGCTAAAGAAGACTGAAGAAAAGTGATCAAAGTGATCGACAGAAATGTCAACATCTAGATAGGAAGGTGCCAACAGCAATATTGTATCATCGGCAATAACATAGTAAATAGATTTTACAGGAGAATTTCACAGTCGGTGAAGGTGGAGCTCTGGAGTAAACCGCTTTCACATTGAGTTGATTGATATATAATCTGTTTCAGGAATTTCTTTCCGGACAACATCGTTGAGGCCACATTCCTTCAAGTGAGTTCAATATTTCTGAGCCAACAAATATTGAATGGTTTCTTTACTAGCCGTGATTTTAACGTAGTTATCTCCCATCAATCATGTGCGATATGTTTCACCAGCTAGATATATTCTAGATTTTCTGCGTACATCATGTTTGATTCAATAAATGATGTTTTTCTTAATTTTTAATAACCTAGCGACGTGTCCTATAGACATCACTCTTCTACTGGCCGCATCTCTTATCTGATTGTCAGGATACGTCATATGCGTTTCAACAAATATCACATTTTGTACGGATTCGTGTTTAAACAATCTACGGAAAAAAGGGTCACCGCTTCTTCAAACAGAAATTGACTTTCAACGTCACCGCTCTGCTGGTTCCATTTCTTTTCCGACTGTCACAATACTTCACACACATTTGCAAATATCACTTCTTGCACGAGCTTGCGTTTCGACTTTCTGTTGTCAAAAACTAGGTCATTGTTACTAAAAATAGCCATTATTGTAAATAGAAATTGACAGAATTTCGAAGTTAATTGTACCCAAATTTTCAACATCCTCAATTACGATATAGCATAATTTAGACATCTAACATACATTTCTCATGGGAAGATAGACAAACGAAACAGGCAAATCACTCTACTTTTCCCTTTACAATTTGCATTTCACACAACTTTGTGGTGTTAGGGTATTCAAATTGTCTGTGATGACATGCAATTGATGTAGCATATTATTCATATTTTACTCCATTAAAGCCTTAATTAATAAATTGTGATATGATACAGTACTTTTTAGACGCTGTAAGACTCAAGGTAAGACCCGGATAAGCTGCTAACTAGGCTATTTATAGTCTGAACCTAATATTAGCGAACAGAATGACCAAACAATGCATAGATATAAAATGTGTTTTGAAATCCTTTTCCAAAAAATAAAATGAAATGTAGTAATGTTATAAGTTGTTTTATATGACAACTTAGAACTGCTTTTCTTTCGTCTTTGTTAAAATTGTCTCCCTTCCGCCATTCGTTCGAAATTTCTTATTATGCGACCAGGTCTTTGTTTTACATTATTCTATAGAAGATATTAGTGTTAGATAGATGAACATTTATATTTGAAAGGGTAACTTAATAAAAAACCGGAAGTTTTGATTTTAAGTTTCACTGTTAGTACCACCACGGTGGTTGTGCGACCATGTTCCGGGATTGTACCTCTTACATGGTTTATCAAAACAGGCGTGGCTTTTTATGATAAATTCCGTGGTAAACTTTCTTCACAAGAATGGACGAGAAAACGATGAAGAATGTGAAAGATATAGATATTTCTTGAAATAATTAACAGATGTCGGCAAACTACATAGATACCAACAAAGAAGTCGTTGAACTTGTGCTAAATAAGGTTATTATCATTAAAATGTTAGCAACAGTGCGTATGATGTATTCATTTTTTGTCTTAAGCTTATAGGCCTTATGATATAATTCGCAGCATATCGCGAATACCATGTTTAACTGCTTGAATGGCTAATATATGACATTTTTTCTTATCTTATGATATAACAATCTCGTAAGTCGAGTTCACTCTACATATTCTACATAGACAATTGCATGTGTACAATCCTGAGGATTTAACATTTCTTTCCGTTGAAATGAATTCCGTTGATTTTGTTGTATATATGTAAATATATGTAATTTGAAGGAGTAATGAAAGCAACATCCCCGACTAGACATATGAAATAGGCCTATAGCATGAATCCTTCTTCTTCGTGCTTTCCACTACTAAACTGATGATTACATGTACTTACTCATTCTCTTCATGACAAATCAAGCATGTACAGTTTTAAATTTGATATCAAGACCAGTCGCATATGTATCTATATGACATAACACTAAGGAATTTATATACATCACTATTTTCAAATAACAATTGCAATACTACCTCATCACCACTCGGACTCTAGACATCAATTATCACTGAGCACTAAGAGTTCTGATACTAACATGTGTATTACATGAGTCAATAATGATCCCGAGATGTCCGGTGAGTAATCATACACGTGTACAAACACAAAGTGATATCATGATTAAATCTCTTAACACCGGGAGATATGGAAAAAGACCTACAAAAACATAATCATTGAAAGTAACATTGAAAGTATAGCTTCGGCTGGTTTTTAATTGTTTTGTAAAGAGAGGGTTTTATCTTATTTGTCTTCTTCCAAATCCAGTGATCTCCTTAGGGAACATTCTATTGCCTTGAGCAGTATAAATTTCGAAGTGCCCCTGCTAGTTCGTAAACATACACGGTATCGAAAAACTTTTTTAACCTTGTTGTCATTTGAGATCGTGACGTTATTTCATGGATTAAAAAAGATTTGGAAGGCGAATAAACTCGATAAAACAAAAAGTTGATTACTGTTCTCGAACACAATCTCTTATTCTCCTGCTTTAATATGTAGTCTTCTCATTAAGATTTATCATACACCTATGTAGGAGGGGGTACATAGTGATTGACTGTAGTAACCTTGTGAACATTATATCTCATGAACCCATTTACAGATTTACATCTCCCCTCCAATATCTACACCTGATTAGATTTTCGTGGTCAATGGTGAAAGGTATAGATCAACGGTCAATTCGGCAGGAAAAATGAAGGGATGGATATATGTGATCCCCTGCTCACTTGATCTATTTTTCACATTTTGTCCTCAATTTTGAGTTTGGAATGATATTTCAGAAAGATGTCCATCATCACAATCAGTCTTAATTCTACAACTATGAATGAGTTCGTACCTTTTCCTGTTATGAAACTCATTTGTTTATCCCTTTATATCAACGTATTAATCAACCTCAGACATACGGACGTGTTTAATGCTTCTTGTTTTTTTTGTTGACCAAGATTTACATGGCGGTTGCCATTGATAAAGCAGAAGCTTACTATTTTGGAGCATCTGGTCTTTTGACCATATTTTTTTACTAGTTTTATTGACTTTGATTTTGGATCGTTAATATGTTGACATGTTGGTATTTTCTTGTTTTTTAAACCTATTCAACAGACACCCTGATTTGAATAGGGAAAAGATGAGGACTCGAAAAGTCATGGTTTATTAATATATCTACACAATAACCAGTATATCACATCATTAACACTCATGAATATAGATTACCATGTACGTGGTTCCAAATGTGAAACATTGTTTTCAGGTAAGCCATATGATCAGATTTTCGTATGCTGTCTCCAGATAAATCACATTTGTTAATTGAACAGTAACTGAAACAAATGTCGTAAACAAATGTTAATTTTTCAGACACAGACAACTTACAATCTTGAGAAGACTTCTCAACTAGAAATGATGCTAAATGAAACTTCGTTGAAGGACACACGGTTACGACATATGAAAACAGTCAGAAGTCCCAACATACTGGGTAAATTTGTCTTTTTTAAAAGGAGATGAGTATTTTAGGTCTCAAGCTAGAAATGTCTTTTCTCATAGTTTTAATAATATTCGTAATTCTTAGAAAGTATAAGTTTATTTCTAAATTATTTGATGTACATTGAAAAAAGTAAACCAGCCAAATTCGCGATGCTCTGACATGTTCCTTACTTCTATATTACGCAGGTTTGGTCATGATATGTACTCTATTTGGGATAGCATCTGGAGTCCTTCGTGACGTCAGTAAGCCGTTCCAAGCTTTCTTTAGTTCTGCCAGTGACGTCATCATGCAGGTTCTGCGCTGGATCATGTGGTAATAAATGTATAACGAGATTTTATTATCAGAATGCTTTGAAGCATTGCTAAACCTTAACAAAACAGATCTATAGGAAGTTATAGACATATATATTATCTTAATGTCAATATACATGTGACGATTTTACGTTCATCAGTCGGTGTTTTAACGTTTATTGACGTAATGACCATGTCGTTTCCTCATTTCAAGGTCTGATAAACCTTGTGTCCCTGCTGGGCCCAGATGCACGTTCTTCGAAACGAAATCTTAAAATTATCTTATATATTTTGTATAAATTCAACCTTTTTCATGTAGACGTGTGTAAAAAGATTTTGCAAAAGTGAAAAGCACATTTTAATACAACCAGACATCCGTTACTCGTATGCTATAATAGCAAATTTATAATAAGAAATAGTCTTTCTCAAACCATACAACACATGATATTTGTGTTACTCTTAACTGAGTTTCGTTTAAGGTTAACTCCTATTGGGGTGGCGAGTCTAATAACGAAAATCATATGCTCAGCCGATAACATAGCAGATGATTTCCAGAAGTTGGGAATGTTCATCGTAACGGCTGCAGGAGGGATGGTGTTTTGTGGACTGGTGATACCCGTCAGCTTTTTCATTTTACGGAGGACAAATCCATTTCCATTTGTCTTATCTCTATCGCAGCCGATCATGATGACATTTGCAACGGCAAACACGTACGTTGTTTAAACCAGTAATAACCATACATGAATGTTGATTTTGTATGCTTTGATCTGTAGAGTAGCACCTGCTTTTTTCTTCCTTGCCTTTGTATTTCGTGCCGTGGGATATTTTATTGAATATGAACTCGATATTTTAACGGTCGTAATTCGTCCTTCCATCATATTCACCCTTGTTAACTTCTTGTACTAAAAGGAATTTTATGTTAACAACTATACTGCCCGTGCGTTCCAAACTTTTATAGTCCTGTCATAAGTACAAATTAGTTACACAATTTGCTAAAAACGATTAACTTCTGACAACAGCATGGTGCAAAAGATAAAACAATCAAACACATTTATTAGAGGAAAAAACATTTAACGACCAAACGAATTATGCTTGTATCAAAGCTAATAATGTAAATCAAAATTCAGTTCACATTACTTTGATAAGCAATCACTGCACGTTGTTTTTAATATCCCTAAATTTTTTAATGACAATACACAAAATAGCTTAAAGACTTCTATTTACATCTGTATCTGTGTGTTTCAGGCCTATTACTATGCCTGCTGTGATGACCATCCTAGAAAATGAGCATGGCGTGGACAGGAGGGTATGTCGATTTGTGATGCCGTTTGTAATGACGCTATGCAGATCCGGATCAGCCTTTTACATTGCTTTGTCGGCTCTCTTTGTCTATCAGATGTTTGGGTCAACTTCAAACGTGGCTACGGTTATGCTTATTTGGTAAACATTTTATATCACAGACACTAACTCGTGTAGTAAGTGGTTATCACTGCTGATATGCATCTTCATTCTTAATAATAAGAAAATCGAAACCCTTTTACGAATGACCTGCACTGATACATTTAATATGATACAATATTCAACATACAATTACTAAGCTAAAGCTTGTTACAGTGATATGCATGTTACACTCGGTGAACTTTCATATAGATTCGTCTTTTTACTGTTTTCGTGAACCAGATGTCAGATTATATCCGTGATCTGTTTTCCCTTCATAATGGCTTTCAATTCTTTCTTCAATCATATATATCTATTTTTCATTTATTTTCATTTAAGTCTTTTGACAACAATAACATCGACTGGAGCGGCGCCTATACCGTCGTCCTCACTGATGGCAGTAATAATAATCATTGCAGCCCTCAATATACCGGCCGAATCTGTTACTCTTCTATATACTTTCGACTGGTTATTGTAAGTATTATATTATTTATCATTCGGTATTATACAAGTGTATAGCAATTTTTAAACAAACTCTGAATTAGATAAAGGTGAATCAGTTGCTGGAGAAAACTTCATTATACAGCTGTTTCATCCTCCTAGAATTCGTCATTGATGCTAAGGATATATCCTTTAACTCCTAGTCCTAGAAGGACTAAACAGCTGTACGATGTAGCATCACTTACGAGTCCTAGAAGGACTAAACAATATTCACATTACATTGCTCTCACTAACTTCTTAAGGATTCCTTTTGTTTTTATTTCAGAGATCGCATTCGATCAGTAGTGAATTTGCTGTTTCAAGCTTTTGCAGCCTTGTTAACGCAGGATATATGTGGGAAATCTCTAGCCTCTCCTCCAAGTGATTCTACAGAGAACGAACTGAACAAGACAATACCTATTAGTGACCAGTCCATAGAAATACGCGTTGAGGACATAACATTGCAGGAGACAACAAATTGCATATCTGATATCGCCAATGTTTGATGACATCAAAACAATAGTGACATTATATAAAAAAATAATCCCCTTTTATATCGTGGTTTTATTTGTTCAGTTCAGTGGTTTAAAAATAAACTTCATTTCTTTAACAACATTTGCGAAAAAAGCTATATCAAGCATATATTAATCATTCTGTTGGTAGCATCACTGACGGGTCCTAGAAGGATGAAACATCTGTATGATGTAGCATCACTGACGAGTCCTAGAAGGATGAAACATCTGTATGATGTAGAATCACTGAACCCCTTGAAGGATGCTTATGTGTAACCAGGCCTAGAAGTGAAACAGTTGTATGATGTAGCATCACTGGCCAGTTCAACAGCTGATGTTCATCATGTTTTGTTGATTGGACATCACTGACAGTAAAAGGAAATGTATTATGCACTTTGTTTTGCTTTGCAATGTTTAACTTTAAATTATCAAAATGTGTTATTCTTTAGCTAGTCTTTCGTACAATATTTGAGATAGCAGGTAACACTGCTGGTGAACTGCAATCATCAAGGTTTGCTGTAACCTGCATGACACGTTTAAATTCAATCGAATAGCGGCATGGCTATATACATGTATTTGATGCTGGTCTAATGCTGTCAAAATTACATTAAATGTCATGGTTTTATCCCCTATAAATTTTGATTTTTCTTTTGATACCATTGGATTTTCCTTAGTCGCCTCCTAGACTTCAAACTGTATGCCCTTAGCATCACTGACGAGCTTTAGATGTAGAAAACGGATGTATGATACAGTTTAATTCATTGTTTAGCTCTATTGCATCTAACTCTACGTTTGTTTTAAGATGTGCTATTCACTTGTGATCAGTTTTAGTAGTGAAATTGCTCTCACTAACTTCTTAAGGATTCCTTTTGTTTTTATTTCAGAGATCGCATTCGATCAGTGGTGAATTTGCTGTTTCAAGCTTTTGCAGTCTTGTTAACGCAGGATATATGTGGGAAATCTCTAGCCTCTCCTCCAAGTGATTCTACAGAGAAAATGAACAAGACAATCCTATGATTTCAAAAATCGTTTTCTGAGACAAATTTTTTTTCGCCAATGTTTGATTTCAAAACAATAGTGACATTATATAAAAAAATAATCCCCTTTTATATCGTGGTTTTATTTGTTCAGTTCAGTGGTTTAAAAATAAACTTCATTTCTTTAACAACATTTGCGAAAGAAGCTTTCAACTTATATTAATCATTCTTGTTGGCCCCTGGTCAGAATATATTATTTAATCTGTACAGTGATATTGATGATATTATTGACGCCAACAAGAGAGATGGAAACTAGATTTTTTTCATTTTATACATTTCACCATGAATACACAACGCGAAAAAAAGTACCCGGAAATTCCAACATCTAAGGAGGGTACATAATCCGAAACTTTTCAGTCGGGTAATCGAGGCTGGCCTTCGTTATTGTAATTTGTGTATACTATTCATTGCCTCAAAATCCTTTGGTATCATGTTTTGATATATATTTACATATGATTGTCGCCAGCCCGTTGTAAATGTACTGGATTTTTAATGTAATGATGGCACTATACCTGTAAGTGCCAGACCTGTTTTATTACGTCACAATCAGGTGTTTCGGCTGTTCTATTTACTGGATGTACTTCTCATTGTAAAATATGAGGATTACTGTTAGATATCACCAATACCTAATTGCTATAATAATTAAGTTCGATATTATTATTATTAAGTTTGCCTTCTGATGGATTTCCTTGGGCTTACCGCAAGGTTAGATTATAAGCTTGACATAATTAATAATGTATGTAGCACGTAAAATTACACTGTCCTGCAGTTTAAGTTATTTTCATACGCAAAAATAAATAAATAGATAAAAAGGGTATGGCGCGTGATTTACGCGCGTTGTTAATCAACAATGTATATTGACGTCACGAGTGTGCTACAAAGTCCAAAGTAATACGTGTGATGGACCGCATGCAAACCACACAAAATTATTTGACGAACGTCACAACAGTAGGAGAACGCTACTTATATGAAGTATATGAAAAAATGTTGGTCAAGATATTAAAGTTCAATTCAGTGCAAATCTGACCCAAATTATAACTATACTTTTCACAATCCATTTTTATTCCAGTATACTAAGTTCATTAGGTTTAATTTGCTCATGCATGCTCAAGGATAATGACGTTCTGCATGACATGCTAATAAAACCGAAAAGAACAACGAACACACAGTCGGAATGTCTCTGTCGTACTACCGGATGGATAGAAACGATGTCACGACACGATAATATGACGAACTCATCCTGTTCTCATGGTACATATACATATATATACGTAAAATTATCAACGCAAGCTCATCAGAAAAATCTCATAGTGAACGCCGAATATATTGTCCATCTAAGGTCAGCAACGTCACTGCAGGGTAGCCATGTCTTCCAAATCACCAAAGGTACAGTTTAACAGTTTGTAAAGTGTCACCTTGTTAACTCTATTTTGTTGATATTTTACCTTTTTTCTCAGTAATTTAGATTTACGATTTTGATAACAAGTCCGAATTTTTTTATAATTATATTGCAGCCATACGGTTTTAACTGATATGTAATCCTCACATTTTCTTAAATATATTTCGCTTTCAGTAAATATTATAGTTTTATCGAACTGTACGGCCTTCAGCCTTGCCTTGTCACACGTAGAGTGCAAACTGGTCGATTAAAAAATTTCTGTTCAGCAGTGTTTCCCTTCGTCTTTCAGATTACACTGTATACAGAGAGGGATTTCCAGGGATGTAGTACGGATATCTACGACCCCAAATATACTTTATGCTTTTCAGGATTCAATAACCGTGTGTCGTCCCTGGAGGTCCATAGTGGATTGTAAGTATGACGCCTCGCGCGGATCTAACATTTCTTTACTGACCAGTAGTTTTGGGGACTCATTGAGATATTTTGATAGTTTATACACAAAGTAATCAGCGAAAGACTCACGATGAAATACTAGTAACTAATGATTTTAATTAATTTGATGATGTTCCGGGTACTAAAGTGATTGTTTATGTATCCAGATGGGTTTTGTACCAGCATTGCTTTCTAGGAGGTAAGATATACGTGGTATGGGAGGGACAGCGGATCAACCTACCTTGTGATGTGGATGACACGATCAGCTCACTCAAACCCATCGAGTTTGTAAGTATAACTAGATTTAATCGATGAAAATAAAATACCGTAACTAGCTCACAATATCGAGTTTGTCACTACGTTTACATGTAATTGTTGATGGTTTAAGATTATGCCTTACCTAGTCCAAAATATCGAGCTTGTAACTAAGTTGCAGTCTAATCGTTTGATGTTTTTTTAAGATGATGCCTTCACTAGCCCAAACTATCGAGTTTGCAATAATTATTTTTGCAACGTACCGTTGCATGAAACATTGACTTTGGTGGGGTTTTTTCGCTATAGGTATTTTATTATCAGAATCTGAGTCCCCTGTTACCGTTCTTCTTGTCAGTATTTGTTATCAGGTGACCATTGATTATTGATCTGGGGTCGCTGATGTTTGTTGCTAGCTAACTGTTTAATGGAGCAAATGGTGTTAGAGTAGACTGGATGACCTGCTTTCACCGCTAAACTGCGCTCGTTTTTTCCCAAGCGAAGTCTAGCGGAGAGTAGACAGACAAGAGCAGGCAATCCAGTCTGTTTAAAGTACATTAATTGATATGTAATATTAGTAGCCATCAGAAGTTAAGTGGTCTTACCAGCAAATTAAACAAATCTGATTAGACTTTTATAAATCCGGTGTTGAGATACTGATGTTTGAATGTTGAAACTCTTAATTGCAGGATTTTGCAGTAAAACCTTCTAGTACTATATATGAGCACAAATGTTTTGCTGGCCGCAAAGAATGCTTCGAAGGGGTCAATCGAATTTCAGACCTAGGCATGTTGTGTTTTAATGACAAAGTGTCATCAGTGGAAGTTCATAGCGGAGGGTAAGTGAAATAGTGTTGTTTTACAAATTAGAATTTAATCTAGATTTAAATTCTAAAGTATTACACAAATGTATTTTTTATTTGTTCAGATCTCACGAAACCTGTTTTTATCGTTTTATGTTATTTCTGTTGAGTATTACAATGACTTGAAAAAAGTCTAAACTTTATCTTTTTTCACAGATGGATAGGCTATGAACACACAAACTTCAAGGGGAAGCAGTATCTGTTTTTGTCAGGTTGTCACAATGGATCCGCATCAGAGGGTTGCTTTAGTCACGATGCCATCTCTTCCTGGGCTCCGATCGTTTTGGCTCCCCATCCATCTGCTAATTAGAATTCCAGTCCCATGAGTTTTAATAGTTTTCATTTTTTGATTCCAAATAATCACCACTGTAACACAAATGAAAAGGAATGTAAAAATCATTGAATAAATTTCACTTTTGTTTCTGTTTTCTCTTGTTTACGTGTTGATACATCAGTTTGAATACTTCTAGTTTTTGCTTCAAATTATAAATTGGGTGTTATCGGAAAGCATCCTTGAAATCATGACATTTAAAATGTGGATATTCATTGAATTCTGGAATTGGTGCACTATCCCATTTGGTTTTAATTTTTTTTCATTCAATATGATTTTTTTTTTTGCGTATCTCCTAACATTCAACAATTTAGGTCCTGACCTAGAAGGACGAAACAGATGCCGTCATTCTTTCATTGTATTGAAAAGATCTATTGACATGTATGTTTTGGGTATGATCCTGTAATTGCTTGGTAAGTTTGTTCGCCTGCCGAAGATTACTGACTTTGACCTTGGGCTAACCTTCAGCTGCCACTTATACGATCTCTCACATTTATCTCTTATCTCTCCTGGTTAAAATGTTTTTAATGATATTATGTTTAGCACTTATGTTTAACATCTGATACTACATTCTATATAAAATAACATGAATCGTTTATTTTCTTGATATATATTAATGCAGGATCATTAGATATTGTAGGGTCTTAGCTCTATATGTTTGAATAAAAAGTACTTGACTTAATTAAGGGATGTTATCATTAATGGCGGAAGACATATTTACAAGTCAAACCACAGGGTCAGAGTACATCCTAATTGAATATTGCGGACCTGCATAGTCACACATAGTTCGAGTAGTATTTACAAAGTCGCAAGTATATCTACAAACCTTAACGGTGGTGTCAATATCACGACAAATGTGATAGTATTAACGGTGGTGTCAATATCACGACAAGTGTAATAGTATTAACGGTGGTGTCAATATCACGACAAATGTGATAGTGTTAACGGTGGTGTCAATATCACGACAAATGTGATAGTGTTAACGGTGGTGTCAATATCACGAAAAATGTGATAGTGTTAACGGTGGTGTCAATATCACGACAAATGTGATAGTATTAAAGATGGTGTCAATATCACGACAAATGTGATAGTATTAAAGATGGTGTCAATATCACGACAAATGTGATAGTGTTAACGGTGGTGTCAATATCACGACAAATGTGATAGTGCTAACGGTGGTGTCAATATCACGACAAATGTGATAGTGTTAACGGTGGTGTCAATATCACGACAAATGTGATAGTATTAACGGTGGTGTCAATATCACGACAAGTGTAATAGTATTCACGGTGGTGTCAATATCACGACAAATGTGATAGTGTTAACGGTGGTGTCAATATCACGACAAATGTGATAGTGTTAACGGTGGTGTCAATATCACGACAAATGTGATAGTATTAACGGTGGTGTCAATATCACGACAAGTGTGATAGTATTAACGGTGGTGTCAATATCACGACAAATGTGATAGTGTTAACGGTGGTGTCAATATCACGACAAATGTGATAGTATTAACGGTGGTGTCAATATCACGACAAATGTGATAGTGTTAACGGTGGTGTCAATATCACGACAAATGTGATAGTGTTAACGGTGGTGTCAATATCACGACAAATGTGATAGTATTAACGGTGGTGTCAATATCACGACAAATGTGATAGTGTTAACGGTGGTGTCAATATCACGACAAATGTGATAGTATTAACGGTGGTGTCAATATCACGACAAGTGTGATAGTATTAACGGTGGTGTCAATATCACGACAAGTGTGATAGTATTAACGGTGGTGTCAATATCACGACAAATGTGATAGTATTAACGGTGGTGTCAATATCACGACAAGTGTGATAGTATTAACGGTGGTGTCAATATCACGACAAGTGTGATAGTATTAACGGTGGTGTCAATATCACGACAAGTGTGATAGTATTAACGGTGGTGTCAATATCACGACAAATGTGATAGTATTAACGGTGGTGTCAATATCACGACAAATGTGATAGTATTAACGGTGGTGTCAATATCACGACAAGTGTGATAGTATTAACGGTGGTGTCAATATCACGACAAGTGTAATAGTATTCACGGTGGTGTCAATATCACGACAAATGTGATAGTATTAACGGTGGTGTCAATATCACGACAAGTGTGATAGTATTAACGGTGGTGTCAATATCACGACAAATGTGATAGTCAATATCACGACAAATGTGATAGTGTTAACGGTGGTGTCAATATCACGACAAATGTGATAGTATTAACGGTGGTGTCAATATCACGACAAATGTGATAGTGTTAACGAGTGTTAACGATGGTGTCAATATCACGACAAATGTGATAGTGTTAACGGTGGTGTCAATATCACGACAAATGTGATAGTATTAACGGTGGTGTCAATATCACGACAAATGTGATAGTATTAAAGATGGTGTCAATATCACGACAAATGTGATAGTATTAAAGATGGTGTCAAGTATTAAAGGTGGTGTCAATATCACGACAAATGTGATAGTGTTAACGGTGGTGTCAATATCACGACAAGTGTGATAGTATTAAAGATGGTGTCAATATCACGACAAATGTGATAGTGTTAACGGTGGTGTCAATATCACGACAAATGTGATAGTATTAGCGGTTGTGTCAATATCACGACAAATGTGATAGTATTAACGATGGTGTCAATATCACGACAAATGTGATAGTATTCACGGTGGTGTCAATATCACGACAAGTGAATTAGTAGTAACGGTGGTGTCAATATCACGACAAATGTGATAGTGTTAACGGTGGTGTCAATATCACGACAAATGTGATAGTATTAACGATGGTGTCAATATCACGACAAATGTGATAGTATTAACGGTGGTGTCAATATCACAACCGAGATGGCAAAAAGCACACGCTGTTCTGACGGTATCAACTGTCCATCAACTGTTAACAGTGGTGTAAAATTACACCTAGTTCTGACAAGCTTACACATATTGTTGCGTGCAATACTCACCCTCTGCCATTAATTAGACTTCCTTAGCAACATAGACGTCGATAACAATGAACAGATGTCTCATTTTAAGTGAAAGCCTTTCCTCCAAAAACCAGTGTCTTGACAGGAAGGGCCCAAAAACCAGACAATGACGCGGGTAAAACTTTATATGCACTTGTGCTTAATACTGTGTGAAGTTTAAATCAAGTTTGTCATCCCTAATTCAATTAAGTGATTATCTGGAAAACAAACTAAGACAATGACATGTCAGAAAGAACCTAGCTTTGTGTCTGACCTTTAAGGGTAAATGTAAACATTCTTGTTACACTGTCATTAGACACGTAAAAAATATGTAAAATTTGACCTTGACCCTTTAGCATAGTGACCCTGAATATTAGTCAGTTGACTACTGGTTGTATGCTGACAAACATTGCCCAAACATGGTGATGAATGTCTATGGTACTAAATGACCTTCACAATCTTCAAAGTTGACCTTTTGACCCCAAGCTCAATCCCGTCCATATATTTTCTAATCGGTCAAGAAGTCGGTCATCTGGAAGCCAAAATATAACGTTAAAAGTCTATTTTCAGTAGCGGTGACCTTTGTAGTTGACATTTACGTCCCAAACTCAATCCCACTCTCTATAACGTCATAAGCTTACAATTTAAGAAGTTTCAACAAAATCCATCAATCTCATCTGAAGTAATCATCTGGAAACCAAACTTTGACGATAAAAGTCTATTTTTAGTAACAATGACATTCGTATTTGGATCTTTCCACCCCAAACTCAATCCCACTCTGTATTACTTCATATGCTAAAATTTTATAAAGTTTCAACCAAATCGGTCAATCCTTTCTGAAGTTTTTATTTGGAAACTAATATTTGATGAAGAATAAATTTTTTCAGCAACAGTGACCTCACCATTAGTTTAGATAATGAGGTGATTATAGTGTAAACATAAAGTATGATAAAATAATAAGATTAAATATTGATGAATAAGAATATAAAACTTCATGTCATTACCAATATGTCAACATTATATCTATTGTAAGTACGGGTAGTTTTCATCAAGCATTGCACTGCAATATAAGGACATTCCGACAAAGTGAAAAACGTCCGTGACAGGTTAAAAATAATCTAAAATTCGTTATATTTTAAGAGATCGACAATAGTCATCACGCAGCTTACAATTCGGTTGAACTCAGGACTACATCTTCCTACGTAATGCACGTTTCCACCCAGGCAAACAGGACTCGATAAAATTTGACTAACAATTGTTTTAATATTATGATATATTGTTTACTAGTAGTTTGTCGTGTTTTGTTTCTTTCCACGACAGAATTACCTTCACACCTCCGACTACAGTATCATCTCTCACGTCGTTACCGTGCTCCAGCGAGCCATGGTGACTCAGTCCATCTACTTGATTTCATCTGTATTTATAGAAATCCCTTATATGGGCATTTAGGTCGTATTTCACTTAATATACATATGAAGGCTATGTTTCATCAAAGCAACATCCCCGCATCCATAACGTATGGTGTTTACATGTCGTAGTTGACAAGGGCATGTCCCCATTATCTATATTTTCGTGCAAGGAGTCGTCAACAGAAGGACAAACTCGAAGTCCAGGGTTTCAAAAAATACAAAAAGATGAAAATGATCTGAATGTTTTACTGCCGTCTTAGTGATCGCATTGAGAAATATTCTATTCGATATGGAGCTGGGCGTGATGCTCGTTAATTTGCCTGTTTGTTCCGTTGTTATAAAAACTGCTTTTCTTTCAGAACTTGACATTGTTTCCTTGGATTGACCAGGGTTTACAAGGTTGCTATCATTGACAAAGCGGAAGCTGCTGACACATCTACAACACCTGCGCCATAGGTTTTCCTGAATCTCCGTGTAAATTGTTCTTTTATTCATGATTTGCCCCAAGCCCTATGTTTATTGAATTTGAGTTTGGATTAAGATTGTTGAATTTCAAAAAGTAGTAGCGTAAAACAAAAGCATACAAAACATTCACTATGAAAAACTACAATTCATCTAGCATTCATTGCTTTATATTGCAC